CTTGGGCGCAAGTCAGTGTGCTGTCACAGAACCTCGTGGTTGAGGATGACCTTCGCTTCCCGTATGTCAGCTCAACGCTCGTGTATCCAGACTGGTCACTGATCGCCTTTGACTCTGCAGATGCTGATGTAAGGGCACATGCATTTGCCGTGCGTGTGTGTGCATGTGTGTGTGTGTGCATATGTGGGTGCTTGAACTTGCGCTTGTACTTGTACTTGTACTTGCGGGTGCTTGTACTTGTACTTGTGTGTGTGTGCATTTGTGTTGTTGTGCCCAAAGTCACGTGCAATCCAGCTTCGCAGCACCACGGACATCGTTAATTCGCCAATGCCTCAGCCCAATCAATCACACACCGTGTACACATATCGATATACTCACGTGTAACCATGTCCTTTCAACATCCTGCACCCTCATTCACTAGGACCGAGAAACCATGATGAACTTTGTGTTTAGCACCAACACCACACTGGACATCCACTTCACCACATCCCGCAGCTACGCCACCGTGGGCGACATCTTGGTGCGTACATTCGGTCGTGGTTGTGCACACACGCGCGCACACAGCACGCTTGTATGCACAAACACACACACACGCACACACACACACACACACACACACACACACACACACACACACACACACACACACACACACACACACACGTGCGCGCGCATGAATGTAACATGTTGCGCGCCTGTCGAGCAGCACACCCAATGCGTTGCTGCTGTTGACAAGCCTTCACCTCATCGCTGTGCCCCTTTTTGTGCCGTTCACGCACACACGCGCACGCACACTCACACTCACTCTGCCTCTCTCTCTCTCTCTCTGTACCTGTTTGCGTCTCTCCTTGTCTTTGCTTTGTTTACCAACTGTAGGAAACATACGGGGTGATTGTGCGCGACCTTGATCAGCCGCTGCTGGCACAGTGCCCACGATCGGCATCCCACTTTGTACACCATGGTGACAGCACGGTTTCCGCAACTCCTGATCACGTTCGCCTCAGTGTTAACCGCACAGGCCTCACGGACGAGGAGATAGAGAAACAGCTTGAAACGATTATCAACTGCCCATCTGACACCTATCCATTACATTACCTCATTATCTTCGAGCTGTGCGATGGAATGGACTGCCCCGAGCATTCCCTATGCATCTGTCGTCCCTGTCAACACGCAACACCAGTTCAAGTACGAGCGTTTGCACAAGTGCTATGCGTGTTCTCATGCATGTTGGTGTATTTGGCCATGAGCGTACAAGACGTGTCTACAATTGAAAAGCAAGGTATCCATCAAGCGTTTTCGATGACTAACATGAAACTCCCTGTATCCTCACTGCCACCACCACGACTACCGCCATCGTCATGATAATCAGATCCACCACACAGAGGAGTTCTTCACGCAGCACACGCTGGAGACGAACCACGCGCTCCTGGCCGACATTCTCGGTGTCTCATGTGGGCGTATGCGCACTTGCAGCCAGGACCAGCAACCAAACACACAGTACTTTCTGGTTGAAGATCACCTCTACGACGTGCGCGATAACCAGGATACGGTGTTCTTTCACGTGAACGTCAAGTCCTTGGAAGGTGACGGCTTTTCGTTTTCCACAGAAGGGGTGCCTGTGCCTGGCCACCCGTACCTTGCCACCGTCAACATTTCTGGCCTCCACTTTGGAACGCTCACAGTTGAGGTGCGCACACATTTCGTTTGAGAATCGTGCGTGTTTGTTTTTGTGTGTGTGTGTGTGTGCGTGTGTGTGTATGTGTGTGTATGTGTGTGTGTGTGTGTGCGTGCGTGCATGTGTGTGTGTGTGCGTGTGCGTGCGTGTGCGTGCGTGCGTGTGTGTGTGTGTGAGGGTATGCTCTTGTGTGCCGCTGTGAGAACCATAACGTTTCTCTTGTTTGTGACACTGGCTCATGCAATGCACATGCCGCTGCTCTCTCCCACACCCTCCCTCACCCCCCATACACACATATCAGGTGTTTCTCGCAGACCGCCTGACATCTGAGGAGGAGTGGGAGCCGATTACCGCCAGCCCCTTCCTTGTGGATGTGCTGCCACGTGACTGTCCCAAAGGCGAGGTCCCAACCCAAGACAATATGTGCGTGTGTCCTGCCGGCGCACTTCGCATTGGTGGCAAGTGCATGGACCCAGCAGAGTCGACACCTCTCTTCGTCGCACTGACGGTGTTCGTCATCGGTGTTATCGGGTACATCGTGTTTATCGTTATGCGCAAGCGTGCGGATGCGCTGTGGCAGATCGACAGCGAGGACATTGTTGTGAGCGATCCTCCAGAGGTGCTGGGGATGGGCGCATTTGGTGTAGTGATCAAGGGGGAGCTGAACGGCACCGGCATCGCCATCAAGCGTGTCATGCCCAAACCACCGTCTCGATCAAAGGCGGACAAGGCGACAACATCCCAGACACGTTCCACCAAAAGCTCTCCGCGGAGCGTTTCAAGAGCTGGCGATCGCTTTATGCTGAGCACAACCAATTTCGAACAGCGGGCCGCCAGTCGTGGTGACACTCTCGTGAGCGCCATGAGCACGCACAACAGCACCATGAACACGGCTACCAAGAGCAAACGTGGACGATCCCTGCAGGCAGCGAGGTAACTCCGAGTGGACACATGTTCCTGTTATTTCATGAAGACGCGTCCCTTGATCTCGCACACGCACACACTCTCACCCCTAGCAAACGCACGGATCACGACACCAACGTAACAGGGCCGAGTTCCTTGCGGAAATGAGGCTGTTATCGCGCCTGCGCCATCCGTGCGTCGCCACCATGCTCGGTGCAACTCTGACGAAGTCAGGCGAAGTGCTCCTCGTCATGGAGTACCTCGAGCACGGGTAGGTGTCTGCGTGTACATAAATATACATAGATGTGTGTGCGTGTGTGTGTGTGTGTGTCGCATGCTGCTTGAGAATGCGTGCAAGCAACCTGGCAGAGCCCTTCTCATCGCTCACAAAACGCTGTCACCATCTGTAACTGCTCAAACGCTGCACAATACAACAACAGTTCGCTGTACGACTTTTTGCGCAACGACAAGCTGCCGACGCCAGACATGTTCCTGCTGCCCATTGTCAAGGACATTGTGTCTGGCATGCGCTACATCCACAACCTCAAGCCGCCGGTTGTGCACGGCGACCTGAAGGCAAAGAACGTGCTTGTGGATGGCAACTTCAAGGCCAAGATTGCCGACTTTGGGCTCTCACAGAAGCGTCGCTTTGGCTGTGGCACACCATACTGGATGGCGCCAGGTGTGTGTGTGTGTGTGTGTGGTGTATGCGTGTGTGCATATGTGCATGTACATGCGTGTTTGCACGTGTGTGTGTATGTGTGTGTGTGTGTGTGTGTGTGTTGCACAGCTGCGTCCTTTCCCCTACCTCAACACATACATAACCTTCCAACCACTGCCACTCACAATCACTGCCACTCACAACCACCACCACCACAACCACCCATTGCCACCAATCATTCAAATCATGCAGAGGTGCTGCGCGGAGGAGAGGTGACGCGGGAGGCGGACGTGTACAGCTTCGCCATCACCGTGTACGAGATCTACAGCCGACAGGACCCGTTCCCAGAGGAGAACGTGGCGGAGGTGCTGCAGCAGATTGCCGCACGCCAGGTGCCGGCAAAGCGACCCGACATCCCAGACTCGTGCCCCGTCATGCTGGCTGAGCTTGCGCGGCGGTGCTGGTCCGAGGAGCCCAAGTTCCGGCCAACGTTCGACCAGGTGGACGCGCAGCTGGGCGAGCTCAACATCAGCAAGGTGGGCGCAAGCCTCATCCAGCAGAAGCAGGACGCGCTGAAGAAGGCCACGGTGCTCAACGACGTGTTCCCGCCACACATTGCCAAGATGCTGGAGGAGGGCAAGAAGGTGCACCCGGAGCACAAGGACGACGTGACCATCTTCTTCTCCGACATTGTGGGCTTCACCAACATCAGCGCGCAGCTGACGCCGGCGGCGGTGTCGGACATGCTGGACCGACTGTACTCTGCCTTTGACGAGCTGACGGAGAAGCACGGCGTGTTCAAGGTGGAGACCATTGGCGACGCGTACATGGCGGCAACAAACCTTGTTGAGCCGCAGCACGACCACGCGCTCCGCATTGCGCAGTTTGCGGAGGACGCCATCAAGGCGGCGCAGTCGACGTTCATTGACATGGAGCGGCCGGAGCTCGGGTGCGTGAACATCCGCGTTGGGTTCCACTGCGGCCCTGTTGTGGCCAACGTTGTTGGGCGGCGCAACCCGCGGTACTGCCTGTTTGGGGACACGGTGAACACGGCGTCGCGCATGGAGAGCTCGAGCGAGCGCAACAAGATCCACGTGTCGACGTCTGCGGGGGACCGCGTGCGGAGCCAGGCGCCATGGGTGAAGCTTGAGTCGCGCGGGGTGCAGAACATCAAGGGCAAGGGCGAGATGCTGACATACTGGCTGGTGAGCACGAAGCGGGAGAAGAAGAAGGAGGGCGGGCAGCGGGTGATGATTGCCTCCGAAGAGGCAGAGGTCATCGAGATGCCGAACGAGGACACCAGCGACAACGAGAACGGTGGCGCCGAGGATGAGGGTGATGCAAGCTCGAAAGCGAGTGAGACTTTGCACAACAGCACGGCGGACCATGCTGCTGACACCACCTCCAATGTAGTCAGTGCTAGCCAAGGTGCTTCTGTCGTGCCTGCGCGTGTGTCGGCGTCGGCCCAGCACCGCTCAATACGCTTGAGTGACTCAGGCTTGCCGCCTTCCCACCGTGAGTCCTCAGACAAAGGTTCTTCCTCCTCTTTCGATGGTGACAGTGTTCGTCTGTACGACGCTCACGCTCGCGACAGCATCTCCGTCATGCATGGTGACGTCAGCGGACCTGGGGTGTCCTCGGATGCGAAGCACGCGCGGATTTCTCATGTCTCGTTGAGTGAGTGTACATGGCTTCATGCAGACCCAGCAGACAAGTCTGCGCCACAGGCCCACAACCGACCATCTTCACCTCGTTGTCTTGAGTCCAAGCAAGCCGTTTCACAACAAGAAGACGGCCGTGCGCCTTCCACTGTGTTGCGTGACAATGGCCCAGAAAGCGTTGTTTGAGTACTGCACTGTAACCATGTGAATCGACTGGCAGCTACGTGTGTGTGTGTGTGTGTGTGTGTGTCCCCTTGCGCGCTCACCTATGCTTCAACGCCACCTTTCTTTTTCTTTGTTGCTCCTGTTGTTCATGCCATGTTTGCCCGTTTGTCTTACTGTGGAACGTTGTTGTGCTGTCAGTTTTCATATCGTGCTTCGATCGACTGCACACCCTTGCTCTTTTGTATTCTTCACATGGGATTATATGTGGTTTGTTCCTTGTCGCGCTGTGGTCTTGCGTCCCAGCATGTCCTTCGGTTGTTCAACACACGATGCTTCAATACATACACCAGCATTGTGCCTTCATTGGACAACAGTGTGTGCATTATTTTGTGTGTTTCGTTGAGACGTGTGGGTGGAGAGTTGTAGGCAAGACCATCAAGTTCATTCGACTCGAACTTCGCGAAGATACGTTTCTTTGTGTCGAGTTCGGAACCAGGAAGGATTGCCTGTTCGGAGGAGCATATGCAAACGGAGATCAACCTTCAACAACGCGCTTGAGCGGTTCTGCTTTTCTCTTCGTTGTGTGACTTGACGTGTGTGACATCAGCCGTAGCTCGACCCTTTATCCTTTACCAACCTGCATTCGCGCGGTCCTCAACGACTGAGGCAAGCCATCGCACTGTAACGAACCTACTTACGTGTTCCACTGTCACTTTACAGTCCTCTTTTTCCTCTCTCGGTGACGTCATCGAACCCAAAATCCACCTGCACTGACTGTCACTACGAGCGAAAAAGAAGCACAAACCTACCAAATTGCGGCTTTGTGTCAAGCAAAACAACGCAGTTGACCTGTGATCGAGGTGTGCGTTGCGGTAGAAGCGGCAGGAGATAGACGAGAACCTCAGCTCACACGTCATTTCATCAGAGTCCAAAGCGGTTTCACGCACGCGAGCCGTACCACATCAGGCCATGATCTTGTTGGGAGTGTTGCTGCTTGCGGTGACACCCACGGTGAATGCTTACCGCATTGGGTGTGCAGCGACCCCTGTTCAACCGCGTAAGTTCTTGTTTTCTGCAACCTTCTTGCCTTGAAGCGTTCCTGCGCGTATTGGCATAGATATTGTGTTCATGTGTGTTTGGCGCCAACTGAACATTTGCAGGCATATGCAATGCCTTGGAGGACATCTTTGAGCGGTACGCACCATGGGACGTCACGTTCCAGTACATGACGGAAGTGGACATCCTCGACAATGCCGCCAGCCTGGACTTTGCCCTTGTCGACCCAAAGACCGTCTCCTGCCTTGACGTGGAGCACGCTGTTGCTCCGTTGGCCACCCTGGGTCTTCCAAACATCTTCGGTACGTATATGTCACAAGGCGTGTGTGTATTGTGTGAGTGTGTGTGTGTGTCTTGTGTGTGTGTGTGTGTTCTTTGTGTGTGTGTGTGTGTGTGTGTATGTGCATGTGTTCTTTGTGTATTTGTGTGTGTGTGTGTGTGTGCTGTGCATGCATGTGCTTCGCCCAGCGAGCCTACCGCTACAACATGTGCCTTGCTTCCTCGTCCCACCATGTTCGCCAACCATTATTGACTCGCTTGGTCGTTTTCACAATGTTGTGCACGCAGTGGAGACGCGCAAGGACCACAACGACTACCTGTACCAGACTGGTGGCGTCATCTTTGCGCTGGCCAGCTCCGAGCTGAGGGTGCTCACAGATGTGAAGGACAAGATTGTCGCTGCCACCACGACCACGGACTTTGCAAGCACACTGGCCCCTTTTGCAGAGTACAAAACCGAGACGGGCAACGAGCTTGTCATGGACGCAGCAATGGTACGATTGTTGTGTGTGTGTGTGTGTGTGTGTATGTGCGTGTGAGTGAGTGGGTGTGCGTCTGCGTCGATGTGTGCGTGTGTGTGTGCGTGTGTGTGTGTATGTGCGTGTTTGTGTCTGCGTTGATGTGTGTGTGTGTGTGTGTGTGAGTGTTGATGTGTGTGTGTGTGTGTGTGTGTGTGTGGTGAACAAGGTGTGGTTGTACATTGTGGTCAAGCATATCATCACTTCTTGCACCATCCCTTGCGTCACCCAACCTGTCCAAGCAGCTGGGTGTCCACACACACATATGCTCACACACATATATGCTCACGCACACATTGCATTGTGTGTGCGGCCTTTTCACAGGTGCAGTATCTGGGGTCGCCACAGCGCGTGCTTGAAGCGGTGCTTGCTGGTGTTGCACACGTGGGCATGGTGCAGACGGGGTTCCTTGAGCGTGCAGTGGCACGTGGGGACCTGGCTTGGGCGCAAGTCAGTGTGCTGTCACAGAACCTCGTGGTTGAGGATGACCTTCGCTTCCCGTATGTCAGCTCAACGCTCGTGTATCCAGACTGGTCACTGATCGCCTTTGACTCTGCAGATGCTGATGTAAGGGCACATGCA